TATCTTATAATGATTTTACGCATACGCCTGGCTAATCTCTAGCCTAAAATATCACTTGCTCAAGTCTGACTTCTTTGATTCCTCCTCATTATACAAGTTCACAGAACCTTGTCATTTTCCAACATAGTTCTTATCACAGCTGTATTTATTTAGTTATTTGTGTAAACTCCACAAGATATATATTCTGTGCTGTGGCTTTCTCTATTTCATCTGTCAACGTGCTGTTATCCACTTTTCAGTGGGATCTAAGTAACAATAGAAGGCAAATACCTGTGCCTTGGCTGCTACCTCCCACTTAGAATGTCAATAGTGAATCCCTAGTTATGTCATATTTCACTTCCACACTACCTGGGCTGAAATAAACTGTATAGCCTTTAGGTAAAGAAAATTGGGGATTAGGTTGAATGTACCTTGGATCGAAGAACCAGATTTTCTTCTTCCAGTTCCTTGAGCTTTTCTTGCAGCATGTCCAACTGCAGCAAACCTTGAGATAAGCTAAAGGACTCATTGAGCCGAAGAGGTGTAGAACAGCTGGAATCAGTTTCACTCTCTTCAGAAGCAATGGAGACAATTCGAAGTAACTCATCTTTCTTGGATAACTCATGCTGCAGTTGATTAACCTGCACAGCAAAAGGGATTGATTTACAAGATATGGTCTTCAGTTTGAATTATTTACATGTAATACAACTTCCAATTCATGGAGCAATTGTTTCTCACCATAAAGCAAAATAGATTTTCAGTGGCTAGATTTTACTGACTAAAGTAGCAAGTGCTAAAAAGAGAGTAACAAACCTTAGATACTTCTTAAGCTATATAGTTTTAGAGCATTAACTCTAACAAATACAGCTTTTTCTAAGCTAGGTGAGAAAAAAAAGCCAATTTTCACATTCTGTATAACAGAAATATGGGAGGAAAATTTCACATAAGATAATGATATAGTCATAGTTAAAAAAAATCCCTGAAGAACCTTGAAAGTATTGGACTAGATCCCTACTTCAAATTCTCATCCTAAAGGTTTGTGCTTTCAAGCTGTATAACTGCATGACTTCCTAACTTCAGTTCTACGGAATAAATATTTTCAATATAAAGGCTCAAATGTTATTAAATATAATACATTTATAAAATTTAAATAAAACTATATAAAAATAACAAATTACAGAAAATTTGAAATTTAACCATTAAAGTTAATAAGTTAGTTCTTACTAAAAATATCTATTGCTTTGGAATAAATACATTTTCAAAAATTTCTTTTCCTTTTCCTTTTGTTTGAGTTTTTGAAAAAAGTACTTCATTTGGGTATCTATTTTGGGGGGACATATTAAAAAAAATAAAGATCAAATCACACACTAAATCTACATAGAGGGGTAGAACGCAGTGTTAGAATCTAAGCAGGGTGTCCCATGTGCTGTAGGCACTGAACACAGGCTTTTATGCTGATGAAGGTCGTCACATAAACACTCCTCTGTACAATAACCTTTTATTTCTCTACTGGTTGGTTCAGTCGTTGCCAACAAAGACAATATGTACTGGTGTTATTTATCTACTTATTTTCATCAATTCAGGGACACCCAGGAAAAGAAATTTCTCCATTGCCCAGGACTTAATTATTTCACGCTGCAAATACTTGATCAAAGACTTACTTGATCAAAGGCTAGCCCCAGTTGCTCCTCCAGGGCCTCATTCTGCTCAGACAAGGCGTGGTTCCGCTTTAATAGAGCTTGTCCGATACGAGCAGCTAGCTCCAGATCACGATCCCTCTGTTAAAATACCAAATACACCCTTTCTTTGAGTACAAACAAAATTATATGATAGTTTAGAAATTCTGCAGTCAGTTTTGCTAAACACAAAAGCAATGTCCTAGAAAGCATCAAGATTCATTTTAATGCCCAGATACCAAAATGAACACCGGGCCTGGCACACAGCTGGTGTTTAATACATGTTGGTCAAATGGATGGCCAACACAGTTGTAAATGCAAAAGGGCATTTCTGTTCTTGACATCAAAAGTGAGATTTATTGATCAATCACCCTATTAATTAGGATCTAGCAACCCAACCTTTAAAATTGTAACTTTGGGGAATTAGAAATCAATGTAGTCTTTATTTTAAAAATGAGGACAAGGTCTGGCACACAGTAAAAGCCCAACAAAAATCTGCTGAATGCATTTGTCTATCAAACGTGGTAATGATATAGAATTAGGTATTTAAGATAAGGGGATAAAGTTTGCTAAAAAGTTTCATTTAGGGCAAAGCTTATATGCACCGAGAGCCAGAGGATTAGAGGAAAGCATAGTCAAGAGCCTTACTGTCAATTGGTATGAAAATGATGATACAAAATAAAACGGGAAGAAAGACTGGAAGTTTTGAGGCTACAAGGTTCTGCTGAGAGTATAGAAAAACAAGGGAATCTAAAGAAGTTGGTAGTAATGATGCAGGGAGGCCTACAGAAAAGGCAAGCAAAGCAAGAGTTACTCTTTCTGGGTACATAGTGATACTTCGCAAGGGCGCAGGAATCCCACCTACATAATGGTGCTGAGGACTGTATTCTGTAGGAAGGAAAACTGTCAGTATATACCTAACTGCATTACAAAAAAGTATGGGTTCTGCTTAGTCACTATAAATGAAATTAAGCTTCTGTCCTTTCGTTCTACAGCACATGAAAACAGGTAAATGGGTTATTCCCAAATTTTCAAGGCCCACTAATCTCATTTTCAATATAGGTTAAGTGACATACATAAAATGATTCTGGGGAGCTGGGGGGAGTGGGGAGAGAGGTACTTCAAAGAGAAAGACAGTCTTCCATGAGATCAACTGAAATGGAAGGATCAGGAGAGACCTCTATGACTGCCAATTGGAAGAGATACATTATACATTAAAAAAATGTCATGGACAAAGAGAGCTAAAGTATTGGGTTGTCGGAAACTCGTGACGCATTTTTGCAACAAAAAACATAGAAAAAATACATCATGACTTTTCCAACAACCCAATAACAGCCCAAATCAAAAGCAACAATCTCTGGGAAGATGCTCCAAACTGCAGGTATTGATTTACAGTGGAGCTGCTTCTTGGATAGCAAGCTCTGCTCCAGGCTGAGTCACAACATCTGCTTTTCTAGGATAGGGAGGCCAGTGACACCCTTATAACAACAACAAAAGCAAAAACAAAAACTAAACCCGAAACCTTCTATAATTTCATAACAATAAACTTCAGGAACCATTCCTCTTTGGAATGCCAGTTGGTATGCCGGTTGTTCCAATGATAACAACTCTATACAAAATAACCCAGAGGAAAGACATCAATCATTTTTTATTTGATGTGAAAATTTCATAGATTCCAAATGATCTTAAAGTTTCAGCTTTTTGTATTAGAGAAAGAAAAGAGATATTCATTCCTACCTCTGCCAGGAGATGTGTAACCATGTCGATATCATTGTAAGTTTTGGTCATCTGCTCCACCCTGTCTGTGCCTAGAACTAAGATAGTTAAAAACAACTGTTTATAGGATTTAGAAATAACAGAAAATTTTAAATACTTTTAAGAACTGAAAGATAACAACAAACCCAGGCTTTTACAAAAAGCCATTCAGGAGAATAAAAATATATGCGAAAGAAGGAAAGAAATGTTTCAAATACTAGACACTCAGGAAATAGACCAATTGATTGTTATAAACAAATGTGCATCATACAATGAATTAAGAAAGTATCAAATTGATCACAAGGCAGTCACTTCCTGACTATCTCCCTCGGTAAGATTAGAACTTTGGCCCATTCACACTAGAGAATGTGGGCTGGGAGAATGACCATTAAATCACCAATTGTTTTATATCCCAATCTAAATTAAAGTTACGGAAGGGCACGTTAGTGAGAGGTTATGCTGTTAAAAAGGAACTCAATTAGAATTCTATTGTGATTACCTTGAATATCTGTCATCACCCATCATGTGAGCTAATATCAATAAATAAGGAATAGGACTATTGGACTTTTTGTAGCTCTGTCATGAACCACATCCTCTTTACCTTAAGTAAAAACACTTTATGATAATGTTCATATCTAGGCCTTTGCTATAACATAAACTGTATACTGTACTATTACTTGAATAATTCAAGCCCTGTATTTCTGCATTTCATAAACTCAGGAACTGTCAATGTACTTGGATAATTTAGCTCCAGGGAGGACAAATATGACACCAATGATTCCAGTCACAATAAGCAATATCTTTTTAAGTTAATGATGATTCATAATAAATAAGGGATCTTTTGATTTTGGAATGCACTACAAGATACAGATTTGTGTGTGACTTAGACTGATTTTATAATTAGTTGTCCTGAAGAAAAAACAGACTTTGGAGCAGAAAAGCTGAATTCACATATTTGAGTGGGCCTGAAAAAGTCACTTAACCCTTCTGAGATTCAGATTGCATATCTATAATATGGAGGTAATAACACTTGTGTCACAAGGTCATTAGGTTAAAATATGATGATTTATTGAGCAAAACTGCTAAGTATCATACAACTGTTTATAGTTAATTACTTTTAAACACAACTGGTATGTAAGACATTGCCCTGGTTTTAAATTCTCTGTAAACAATTCACTGAATTGGCAGCAGATGCTACGATTTAAGTCATTTGTGTAGTTCTTTAGTTCCAAAGACAACATTAGACATGTTTTACTTTTATCTGAGCTTTTAATTTTTCTTCCTAGCATCATTGCTTAAATTGAATCTGGGAATTACACAGAGTTGATTATTAATGATAGTCTTATTCCTAGTTAAAAGTAAAACAAAGTGCTGGGTTGATGGTATTAGGAAATAGCTTTAAAAAGTTTTAAACTGAATATAAGGAAACTAAGGAAAAAAAACAAAAACAGAAACATTTTTACTCCAAAAGAATTTATATTGACAAGTAGAGAAACTGGCTCCATAATTTAACCATGGGGATAAGAGAAACAAGCTTTTGGGACTAAGGAATCTTCACAATTTAACTCGGTAGCATAGCAGGAACAAAGGATTAAAAATAAGGCAGACCACAGTGTGTGGTAGGTCTCCTACACTTCTGGCCTTGATAACAAGATGAGGGGAAAAAAAATCAAGTCAGTATATCTTTATTACAGAAAACCAGCCAATAGCTGCAAAACCAAATTTAACCTAGGGCAGTGGGTCTCAAACCAAGATTCTGATGTAACTGATTTGGAGGTGGCAACCCAGGGCACAGGTAGTATGTAGAAGATGCCCAGGTGTTAGAACTGATGTGGAGCTAGGGATGAAAACCACTGATCCAGATTAACACTGAAAGCAAGAGCCTCCTTTCCTTCTGTTCATGTAATTATTTCCCTTCTCATGAAAACCTCTTCCTTTCACCCCATAATGGAAACACTATTTGGGTTTCTGCCTGAATCAGTGCTTCCTGAACAGCTATTCTTTGTGATCTCAAATAAATGCTTATTGCCTCTCGTTTTGGCCTTTTATTTTCAGATTAAGAAGACTCAGTTAAAACCAGTTTTTATACAACTAATTTAAAAAATTCATGACATGGCTTATTATATTACATGATTGACCAGAAGTGGCAAATTAAATATGAAGTAAAGCCAGTAAGTTAAGGACGTAAAAAACAGCTGTGAGCTACAAGTCACACGTGATGAACGGGTAAGAGAAAATGAAGGACATAATAATACAGAAATGTTTAGTGAGGAGAAACTAAAATGTATTTCCTATAAATGCTTACCATCTGTTATAGTCTGAGAATTTACAGCTGAACCTTAAGAAGTTAATCTAGTTTAATGATCTCATTTTCTTATATAAGGAATCTTGATTGAGAGGAATGATTTGACTTGTCCAATATCACAAAGCAAGGCATTAGTGGCCAAGCAGGATAATAAAGAGCTGATAACAACCCCAGTCACAAGGTCATAAGAAAAACCTGTGTGTGCTCATTCTCAGTAATGGGCTCTAACACCGTTCTGCTATTTCTACCACAGTACCATCAAGACCAAAACGCCTTTATCTGATGAAATACTAGAGTATCCACATGTTATAAAACAGCATAGATTTCAATTTTGCTCTTTGAAGTGTGAGCATATCTATATACGAGAGGCAGGAAGAATATACGTTAAAATGTTAATAGTGATCCTCTGTGTAGGGGTTATGGTTGCTCTGTTGTTTTCAGGTTTTTTTTGCTAATTTTCCATGAAAAACAAATGTTAACTTGGCAGTTAAAAAATAGCAGTTCTTGTTAAGAGGTTTCAAAAAGCAAAATTGAATTTTAAAATGCTTAAATATTTATTATGGCAAAGGAGTTAGATAATGCAATCAGAACTCACCAATTCTTACGTTTTACGTGAAATAGACTATATACTACCAAGCCCCAAAGGCTGAGCCACTTCAATTGCAGAGTTGCCTACCAATTGATGTGAGTTAGTCACAAAGCATATAGGAACAAAATGGATTCCTCTCTGCAGCTTAATGAGTTCTGTCTTCTCATCCTTATCACTGTACTCCTGATAAAGACTTACTGCTTTGGAATGATTCCAAAAGTACTCAGGGCAAAGCTCTTTCCCGTTCTTCTGGCATTTAGGCACTGTGATATAAATGCTTCCAAAGCCATGGACTAATTCTTCACTGTAATTCTGTCACCAAGAATGCAGAGTCAAGCAGGCTGACTTCATTATAACCAATCCTATCAAATCCTATTTTCCCTTCAGTTATCAGCTGTTAAAAGAGAAATATGTTAAATGGTACAGAAATTAGTAATGTTTCTTGCTTGTTTCCAGACATAAACTTCCCTAACCTCATTCTCAAAAAAATGTTTATACATTAGGGAGATGATATTTTTTTAAAAAAATTTTATTGAGGTATAATTGACATATAAACATTTTTACAGAACAATTTTACAACTTTGTTTCGGAAGGTTGTTAATTCATGTTCTACATTTTTGGTGTAATATTTAGAGAAACTAGTGTTCCTGAAACAGGGGGTAATTACATAAGCACTTCACTCATCCTTACTTTATGTTCTAACACTATATAATCTCACATCAACTACTCCAATCTCACATTTTTTCAGGGTGGGAAATCCCAATGTTCTTCCATTTTGATATCTCTCATTTGTATGATATGGTGCTTGATAGCTCTCTCAGATGTCCCTTGTTAAGATCCAGAGGTTTTTTTTTTTTTACAATTACTGAATTTTAAAAAGACGGCTTCTAATCTTTCATTACTCTCCAACCCTCCCATATTAAAAAAACGAACAAACAGAAAAACAAAACACAAAAACACCACCCATGTGGCACAGTAAAAGTTGCAATAGCTCCTGACAACTAGGGACAGGTCTTGAGGTTTTAACTCCTCTTGCTATTATAATACAGAGAACATTTCTACAATGTAAAAAACTGCCTTCAAAAGAACTGAGACAGAGCACAAAGGAGACTGATGATATATATCATCTAGAGCAGACTTCTCAACAGGATCCCAGGGAGGATTAAGCCCTACAGATGATTTCAGTGCCCATTTTCTCAATTCTCCCACAGATAATACTTAGCTAGTATATGATGCATAGGTGATAAGGTAATCCATTATACAGTAGATGTTTTAGGGCATATGGCCTAATTCTTTTGTAGAACTGGTTGAAATCTATACATCTGTTTATCTCTATGACCTGACTATATGGTTAATGCTTCCTGAACATTATCAGTTATACTTCCTACCCTGCCAATACAGGTCAATAATTTTTGAGGGCAGAGCTTGAGGAAAAGTGTATCTATCAACCAGAAGTAATAATTTCTACAACTGTATTTCTCTGCAAAATTGTATTCCTAATTCTTTAGATTCTCCAATTAATGTTATTGTGAAATGGCCATTCAGCTTTGGTTGACACAGCTTTATATCAGTGGTTCTCAAATCTGAGAGTGCATCAGCATATCAGGAGGACTTGTTAAAACACAGACTGCTGTGCCCCACCCCCAGTTTCTGATTCTGCAGAACTGGCGTGGGGCCCAAGAATTTGCCCAAGTTCCAAGTGATGTTGATGCCTAAAATAAAAATTACATAACCAATCATTCTCCCCATCCTTTTTCTTATCCTTTAGAAAATGGTACATGTGATCCCTTATTCCCAAATGAAAAAATAATCCTGAAAGGCAGATCAGGTTTCTATTTTAACCTTCACATGAACAAATGGCACTTTCTGTCACGTGTGCTCTGGTTGCACTGATCACCCCACAGCTCACTTTGGGTCTCACTCTTAATAAAATTAAGAAAACCCTGGAATCACCTGTTTTGCACGCAAAACATTCTTTGAGTATCTTAAACTTTGTGTGTGTGTGGTGGGGACTAAGATGGATTTTTTTTTTTGATCAACCCCATTGCTTTCAAGTGTTCAATTTTAAAGGTAAACAACCTATTTCTGGTTTGTTTGATGGGGCTTCAGAGAACCACCAGTATCCTTTCACTCACGGGAGGTAGACTACCAATCCCAAACCCTGCCCGTATTTCCTTCCAAATTTCTTTATTTTCTTCTCACAGCTCATTAAATTTCTTTATGTTATATAAGAAAGAGCCACTTCTTTTTAGTAGTTGTTAAAATTCATGTTAATGAGCACCAATATCTACTGGCATGTGAGGGAAGTAGGGATAAGAAGGGGCTGAAGTAGCACCAAGGGAGCTGAACCCCAGGATGGCTTGCTGGGGTACAGAATAACTACTCAAAACCACAAATCTTGAAGTCCCAAGTGGATAGGAAACTGTGGGAAAGGGTAAAAGAATGTTTTGCATCTTGCTTTTTAAAACCTTGGTCAAATTACTAAATAAAGTAAATCAGTTACCTTTTATATTCATACGGTTCAAATTCATAATGAAATTTATTTACATTTGAATGAAATGTTAATCCAAAGAACTGATACCTTTAAAATTAGAGTGAAATTAAAGTACAGTACAAAGGTAAAGTATTAGTGGAGCAATTCTAATCCCAGTTTGTTTCATGATCTTAGGTATATCATCTACATAATTGTTTTTCAAATCGTTGAAGTGAAAACAGTACCATTCGACTAAAGAAATAGGATAGTTTCCCAGCACTTGGCAGTATGGATCTGTATCGTCCTATTAATCTCAAGTTTTAAACTGCTCCCTTGAACATTATGGTTTGTTTTGTATAAAGTCCTGAAAACCAAGTATTTTAGATTTTGTTTATCTTTTATTTTCCAGTTTTTTATTTAAAATTCATCTTAAAAATAACTTTATTAAATCATGATCTAAGACATCTTTCTAGCCACAGTTCAACCTCCCCTCCCCGTGACCTACAGGACAAAGGACAAGTAAATTAAGGGGCTCTTTATGTGCTACCTTATCAAAATAATGACAAACTACATTTATTGTGATGAATTTCAGTTTGAAAGTTTATTCTCACAAATCTAAAGACTCATAGAACGAAGGGAAATGTAAATCAAAAACAGTGTTCCTTCTAAAAAGAATTTCCCAGATAATCTCAAGCAAGCAACTTCTCAAACTAAAAATTTAGGAAAACCCTAAGAGCCTTAATTTAATATTCAGCTATTTAAAAGAATTGAGGACAGAAACACAGTTTTATTTGAGTTTCTTGATATTCATTCCCCTTTTAAGTTTAAACAATGTTTACGACTCCTTTTCTTAGTAGTAAGTAACCTGGTTCTAGGAAACTACTATTAAAAGCAAGTTAATGATTACTATGAAAATGAGTATTTCACAACAATCATTCTCCACCTACAATCTTTAAAAACACTAAAGCACTCACTGGGAAAATGTCTAGAACCTGATGCAACCTCTTACCTCATTCAAATGAAAAGAATTTCACAAACATACCAATGTTGAACTTACAGACTTTTGTTATATATTCTAACAGCTACTACACACATGACATTTTTACAGTGAATGAATAAAAAAAGTAAGTTCAACCTGAATGCAAATTTTTGAATGACGTCAAAAGCTAAACGTTTAAAAAGCATCCTATTTAATTGTCATTTTTAAGAACTTGGTGTATAATAAATTTCAGGACAAATCTGGCTTATTAGCCTCTCACTGAAATATTCTCTATGAATCCTTAAGTAAATAATGAAGATTGCTATATACTGTGCACGTATTTCTCCTTGGCATTATTAAAACTACTTATGTATTCAAGAACTACGCTTCTTAAGGGCTGACAGTTCATGTGACTATGTTTAACAGGGAAGAGTCAAAAGGCTGCTGGCTCAGGATATCAAACTATTGGGACAATAAATGTCGAGAGAGAGAGGAATATTAACATTTTAAATGATTTCACTATTTTTTTAAAGTTCCTTTTTCTACTCAGTCTGAGGAAAGTATTAGTAAAAGATGGGAGAAGTGGGAACATGTGAGTATGCTTGCAATCCTGGATACTCAGAGTCCTAAGGAATGACCAACTTCTGCATTCAGACATAACACAATTAGAACCATCTCTTTGTGTTGTTAAATCAGTTTGAGTTAAAGTCAGTACACACTGAACAATGGCTAGGGATGTCAAATGCTTTAAAAGTCAACACCAAGATATTCATTTTTATTTCAATGGACCAACTCCAGAAGGGTAAAAAAATACTCACTCATATAACGGAAAGTCTCCTCAGCAAGGACTGGAGAGAGGGCATCAGATGCATGCTGCTGCTGGTGTGGGGACCGAGTCCAGTCTTGATTTTCATATAGAAAGAGAGAGTCGACTCTTAGCCTATACTGGGGTAGCTGTTCTTCTAGCAGGCTCACCAGCTCAGCTTCAGGGAGATCCTCATTGGAGCAGACATCTAAAGAGGAGAGTTCATGTAAATGAATCGAATGTATTTCAATTACTAGGCTACAGAGAAAAATCAGTGAAATTAGTTTTGCAAAAGTAGGATAGCCAAAGACACATTAGTCACATCATTTCTCCACTGATTTTTATTAATATATCTTGGTGCTATAGTTGGTCTTTCTCCAGGTTTCTTTAATATGAGAACTTCTATAGTAAAAATAATACCATGAATTTCAATTGCACCCTATCTAAAAATATATTGCTTAGTGAATATAAGTATGTTTTTAAAGTTTAAAATAAGTTTAGGCAAATTTCTTATTTCTTCTTTGTCAATCTAGTGCTGCTTAAAAGAGATCTGATCTCAAATAACTTGTAAGCTTGGGGAAAAAAAGCAGCACAAAACAACCAGCAGAAAATAGCCAGTTCAAAAGGAATAAAATTACATGTTCTTTAGCAATAGAATTTGAACTCTGTGGGGAGGATTCTTGAAAATCTGGTAAAAGTAAATTTTAGTATATTCTCACAGCAGCTAGATATAAAACAATTAACATTTACAGGTTAACTATAAACCAGTAAAGTTAACATTCCATTGCTGTGTTCCAGCACTCATACTGAAATAAGTACTTTATCATTTTTATTTGAAAGATGGGGTACATCTGAAGTCCTGAATACCTTTCACATCACTACCTCTCACCTGCACACCTCTAACTCCCCCACTGCACACACTCCTTTGAACACACCTGGGCTTCTCTGACTTTATGTGTTTGTTTCTGGCTTTCTGTTCCAAATACCACCCATCATTCAACACCGCCCACATTTAGCCACTTACAAAAAAAACCCAGGAAAGTTATTGCTTGTAATATGCTTAAAATACCAGGGCTTAAAATAGAGAAAATACAGGATGTCACATCAACCCTCTCACTTTTTGAAGAGATCTGGTATTTCCTTTGTGCATAGTATAGAGAAACATGTTCTAACTCTGGCAAAGAACAATGAAGTTCATTAAAAAAAAAGCACAACACACCCTAAAAGAGTACATTTCTACTATGTGACCTTAATTTAAGAATGACAATTTAAAAGATCAAATACAAGAAGGCAATATCAGACAACCCTATCCAACCAGAAGGACATGCTGTGGCTTCATATCCACAAAGATGAAGTATATTCAAAGCCTTAAATATGGCTCTAAAGAAGCTCTCCACACTTAGCAGCTCTCTTAAATAAGCGCCCTAAAATACATCCAAATTCTATTTCTATGAATTCCATGTGATTATCCAAATTTTTCCTGCCATAAATAAGTCATATACAGGTTGTCACTGTAATACTTGCAGGAAGAGAAGATGATTATAAATACATGCAGAGCTAAAAACTCTTAGACATTCAGGGGTATAATGGAAGTGAAGAACAAAAGTAACATTCATTAAAAGAGCTACTTATTCCCTAGAAATTTTCTTTTAATAGACATTAATAAAATTCTGTGAAAATTCAGTTACCAACTCCCTACTTCCAAAAGATAATTTTACAAATGAGGATATAATCGAAGTTTAGTAGATTAAACTAAATATCCCTCAGACTAGCTCCTCCTATTTGCTTCCATATTTCTCATAATTATTTATTACTCTCCCGATTGTCCAGTCATAACAACCCCCCTCTACCATTTTATCCTCCAAGTGTCTCTTCCATATGCACACTTCTTTCTAGCCACCTTACCTCGATTGTTCAAAGCCACCTCTTATTTCTCTGAATATAGCCTCAAAACTGGTCTGCCTTCATTACACTCAAATTTGCTTTCCACATCTTCATATCTTCATTATGTCACTCTCCTAATCAAGGCTAAGAGAGGCCTGAATTTCAACTAGCCAGAGTAGGAAAACCTCATGGACAGTTGGGACAATCAGTAAAGATCTTAGAAGGGTCATGCCTACTGGTAGTTAAGGTTAAATTAATGCTAGAATAAACCATATTAGGAGTATAGCCTAGAGTATGATCTAGAGTCCTACATAACAAAGATTAAAAACAAGCCTAAAAAGGATTGACCTTATAGTAAGAAACTTAATGACCTGCCAAAACAAATTGTAATAGTCTTCCAAGGAAAACAACAAAATCCAAACATCTAACAATGTGACATTCATAATGTTCAGCATTTGATAAAAAATTACCAGATTACACAAAGAATTAAGCAAATTTTACCTATTATCGGTTGGAAAATGAGTGAAGAGAAACAGGCCCAGTAATAACAAAGATGACAAAATTAGTAAGCAACAATTTTAAAACAGCAATTATTAATATGCTCAAAGATTTAAATGGAAAACATAACAAGAAAAAGTGAAACAGAAAATGTTGCTATATTTATAAAACCCTAACAGAACTAGAGTATAGTATCTAAAATAAAAAGTTCACTGGATAATATTAACAGATTAGACACTCTCCAGAAGGACAGAACAGTGAACGTGAAGGCATAGCAATGGAAACTATTTAAAATGAAGTACAGAGAAAAAAAGACTGGGGAAGAAATGAACAGAGCATCCGTGACTTATGTCACAATATTAGGCAGTTTATATACATGCAGTTGGGAGTCATAGAAGAGAGAGGTGAGAGAAGAAAGTATGTGTGAAGAAACAATGGCCAAATTTTTCCAAATTTAACTTAAACTATAAATTCATAGTTCAAAGAAGCTGAACAACTTCAAGCAGGATAAGCATAAAGAAAACCCAAAGAGAAAATGTTAAAAGCAAAGAGGGAAAAAAAAGACATGACATTTGAGGGAACAAAGACAAGAATGATCTCATCAGAAGCAATGCAAGGTAGGTGACAAAGGAAGGTCATTAAAATGCATATAGGAGTCAACTCAGAATTCAGTACCAGTGAAATCACCTTCTAAAACAGGTGAAATAAAGACTTTTTCAGAGAAGCAAAAAACCGTAACTATTCATTGCTCCCTGAACTACAGTACAAAAAATGTTATTCAGGCAAAAAGGATACAAGATGAAACTTCAACCTACAAAAAGAAACTGAAGTGGTAAATGGTAATGGTAAATTTGTGTGTAAATATATAAGCCTTTTATTCTCATAATTTAATTTATACTTGACTGTTTAAAGTGAAAATAATAACGTACATAATATGTAGGTGTAAAAGGCATGGCAACAATAATACATAGGATGGTAGGGAGAAATGAAAGAATACTATTGTAGGAGTGTCACTATATCAAATAGTATGAAATAGTATAACGTTCATAATGAAATATGAAATAGTATAACATTATTTGAAGATAGGCTATGATAAGTTTAAAATGCATATTGTAAGCTATTAGTACATGCAGCCCCAGAGAAAGGTCCCCCAGGAATGAAAATCTACCTCCGTAAGCAGGGGGCAGGGAAAGACAGAACAAACAGTTGGCTACTCTAGTTTGACAATTAACAGAGATTATTAAGGGAAACTTACATACCTTGGGCAGCAGCAAGACGGAATGGTTCCCTGTGCCGCCTGGCAGGAGCCAGAGCATTATATAAAACAAGATGGGACAGTCACGGGTACTGGTAAGTGACCAGTCCCAGGTAAAGGTAAACACTTTGTATACTTGACCAGGTAAGGACAAAAGCCTGTTCCAGGAACCAGCACATTGCAGGAAGCAGGGAGGGGTGCTCATTTATGTCAAAAGGAGTATCGATTACAATCCGACAGTCTCTAAGGGGGGGTTGTGGTAAGCAATCTCCGTTCTGGCCCAGGTCCAGCTAGTGGATCTGGCAGCCGTTCAATCATGGAATAGTCTCTCTTCCATACAAACTGCAAACACTCAGAAAAATGAGCGGTATATCTACTAAGTCAATAGTGGAATTAAAGTGGAATCTTAAAAACAAACAACAAAGCTTAATTCGAAAGAGAGAAGGAATAAGGAAAAAAGGAAGAACTTTTAAATGGAACAAATAGAAAACAAGTAGGACGGTAGACGCAACCAAATTGATAATTATAGTAAATGTAAATGGTCTAAACACCCAATTAGAAAGAAGAGATTGTGAGAGTGGATTAAAAAAAAAAAATCTAACTAACCTATCTATAGGACATGTCCTTTAAATATTCAGATAAGTTAGGGTAGAAAGTGCTATAATACCAATTCTATAGAAACTCTCTCCAAAAATAGAGGAGAGGGTACTTTACAACTCATTTAATGAAGCCAGCATTATCCCAATACCAAAATCAAGCAGAGACAATGCAAAAAAAAAAAAAGTACTGATCAATAGTTCTCATGAATGGTACACATACACACTCACACACACACGCACGCAGACACATAGTAAATCATACCTGAAATATACAAAAAGAATAACACATCTGACCAAATAGTGTTTTCCCCACAAAAGCAAGGTTGGTTTAAAATTCAAAAACAAAAAAATCAATAGAATTGGAAAATAGGCATTTGGCAAAATTCAACACCCATTCATGATAAAAACCCCCCATCCAACTAGGAAGAAAAGGATGCTTTCTCAATTTAAAAAAGGGCATTCTCAAGAAACTTAATGGTGAAAGACTGTAACTTTTCTCCTAATAATGAAAATATGGCAGGGATGTTTGTTCTCACCACTTTTATTTAAAAATATATTGAGAGCCTATCCCATTCAATAAGGCAAAAACAAACAAACAAACAAAAAACAAAAAGAAAAAAATAATAAAACACATTCATATTGAAAGTGAATATGTAAAAATGTCTCCATTTGCAGACAATGTTATGATTTATGTAAAGAATTCTAAGAAAGCTACAAGAAAGTTAATAAAACTAAATAAGTTAGGCAAAGTTGCAGAATACAAGGTCAATATATAAGAAATCAATTTCATTTCTATATACTAACAGCTGGAGAATGAAATTAAATAAACAATGCCATTTAGAGTGTTAGAAAAAATAAAAAATTTAAGATTAAATTTAATAAAATCTGTGTAAGACCTATATAATAATGCAAATGCCTTAATCTTTATGAAATTCTAGAACAAGCAGATTTTATCTATAACAACAGAAAGCAGATCAGTGGTTGCCTAGAGCCAGGGGTAAAAGGTGGTAAGTTCTGTGTATAAGGGAACTTTGGGGGTATTATAAAAATGCTCTACAACTTGATTGTACTGGTGGTTACATGAGTGTATATATTTGGGAAAACCAAAATGTACACTTAAAATGAGTACATTTAATTCTATCTTATAAAGCTATCTCAATAAAGCTGAATTAAAAAAGGAAAAAAATCCTTGGGTTTAGATGGGTTTCAGAATTTTTTGGAGTTTTAGTTAAGTAGTACTGTGCATTTATTGTATGTTACATAACATCCCCAGCTGGTTATTATAGCAGTGCTCCACATTAATACATTTTCAGCAAACATAAATATTTAAGCTAAGTGAGGTAAGTTTAGAAATAGCTGCACAGGTCAAGTTTTGTGAACCAATGAGTTTTAGAACCAAAGTTTAGAAAAAATTTTGAGTGTTCAGAATTTTTTTGGTTTATTATAGTTGCAAATGAGGGTTTATAGGTCTTCACTTGTGTTTGTATGCCCTGCATGTCCTGAGTGTCTTGCCTCTCATGTGCCACGGACTGTCAGATGCTTGCAGGGCATATAAACACAAACAACTCTGTCCTTGCCCTGTGGAGACAGGAAGACACAGTTCCTGCTGACCAGGGGCTCACACAGTGCAGTGAATCAGACACAGACAAGGAACAGCACACCAGGCCAATTTTGATAATGTGATCTAAAGGATGAAGATAATTCAGTTGGTCTCTGAGGAGACCAGGCGGGAAAGAGAAGCCAGATTTCATCATGGCGGTTTTATACACTAGATTAAGGCATTTGCATTTTATCCTGTAAGTAAATAGCAAGTTGGTATTTATTAAACTGGACTCACCAGTGATGCTCTCTGAGTTTCTGTGATTGCTATTCATGAGGTTTTCTTCACCCGCTGGTGATGTAAAAATGGCATTCTGGGATTGATTCATGCAGGATCCTTTCTTGCTTTGGTTGAAAAGGGCAGCTTTGGTGTAAATTAGAGTAAAGGAAATCCATCAAGCCATTCAACACAAAAATGGGTCTGGTGGTTGTATGGGTAGTTGCTTTTAAACAGATTTCTTCCTGATGAGTCAAATGGCATCTGCAGCAACGAGTGTTCTCAGGTGATTATCATACCTTGGATAGTCATGACCTAAAACAGAACACATTAAGTGACTATGAAATTCACATACTCTTTTGTAACAGCAGTCCAATTACCTGCAATGTCTGTCATTAAGAATGTTTTCCTAATGATACGTACAACATGTATAAATCTCAAAATAATTATGCTGGATGAAAGAAGTCAGGTAAAAAAAGAGTACACAGTTCATGATTCCACTTATACTAAGTTCTAGAAAATGTAAATTATCTATAGTGACAGAAAGCAGATCAGTGGCTACCTAGGGTTGGAGGAGGGATTACCAAGGGGCAGAGGGAATGTTTTGGGGATGACAAATATGTTTATTATTTTGAGTGTGGTGATGGTTTCACAAGTGTACAAATATGTCAAAACTTAGCAAATTGTACACTTAAAATACATGCAATCTAATGTATGTTAGTCAATAAAGCTGTTTAACAATTTTGTAAAGATAATCGACTATTTAAAGTAAAATAATATATTGTGAGGTCTATAACTTGTGTAGAAGTAAAATGTACCACAAAAATAGCACAAAGGCCAGGATGCGAAAAATGGGAATATACCGTTGTAAAGCTTTTATATTACATGACATAGTAAAATATTGCTTGAAGGTAAACTGTGATAAAGATGTATGCTATGAACCCTAAAGCAACCAATAAAATACCTCAAAAATTACAGATTATAAACCAACAAAAGAGATGAGATGGAATGATATAAAACAGGCTTTTCAAGCCTGACATTTTGGGTCAGATAACACTTTGTCGTGTGTTTTGTAGAATATTTACTATCTGACTCTACAGAAAAAGTTTACCAGTCCCTGATCTAGCAGTAAAGTAATTCAGACATCTAATAACCATCTATCTAAATCAATCATTTCCTAGACCAATTTCTTAAACAGGGTTCCCCTACATTTATTAGACACTTGTAATTAGATCACCACCTCTAGAAGAATTTCAGTAAACTAAAAAAAAGACTTCTACTTTTTATACCTAAAACTGTATTTAAAGTTATTTTCAATTTCTAAGAAAGCACTTTTAAAAAAAGTAGTAAGTCACAAATTTGCTTGTGAAGAAGGAAAAGGAGGGAAAAGGAGGAGGAAGAGATGAAAAGGGACAGGAGAAAAGCCAAGTGCCTCTCATACTGGTCCAAATTGGTTCTGAAATAGCATTGTGGTTCTTGCTCCTATTTTAATCAAAGACCATTGTGAAAATTGAATGATAACATCGGGACCTTCTGCCTGACTCTGTTACACACCAGCTGGTTTAATTTTATTACATTACTACTATTTTTTTAAAATTTATATGTATTTAAATCTCAATCTCTCAATCTCTCTCTCNCACACACACACACACACACACACAGGGACACATACACAACCATATATAATTTTCAACTATGGACTCCAGACCTTTGCTCTAGAGGACTGCTTCTTAACCAGTTTTGGAGGTTATGTTCATGGTTCGGTCTCAGCTCTTGCATACGAAAATAGAGAAAACCAAGTTGAACACAGAACTAAGTCCATTTCCAGAGTTATGCAGGAAGAATCTAGACCTCCAGGGCAATCCCAAAACCTGCCCAACCTGCAGACTGTGCACCAAGTCAGGGATGATCTGGGAATGGTATGTTCTCCCTGGTGACTCTTTAGAACTAAATAAACCCTTTGGATGTGCCCTGGTTTAGATCTGAGCTTCTCAGTAGGTTAGTCTGGAAGAGCAATGGTGAGTATACAACAATGTCTGCACCTTGGCATTAGACAAGCCTAAATTTTCATCTTATTTACCAGTTTTCTGACTCTGAGCACATTATTTGACAGTTCCTCATTGTCAAGACAGGAGTTATAATTAACTATGGGGAGGGTCACATATGAGGACTAAATAAAAAATAGAAATTGCTAGCCTGGTACCTGATATACAGTAGACACTAAAATGCTCATGTCCGTCAGCTTTCCCCCTTTGCTTGGGCCTGAAGAAAAGATGATGTCTTCTGCCTAATATGTCTTAAGTTTCTGGCTCAACAGCCAGCTCTGAGCTCAGAATGGCTACCCAGTTTTGAGTATGGAATAGATGTTGCCTAAAGATTACTTCTGAATAATCTTCATATAGAAAGAGATAAGGACTGAGAAACTGTGCTCCTGGCAATAAAGAGACAAATGCCATAAAGCAGGACTACTGAGGGAGATTATTACTAAAGCTCACTTCTTTGTGGATTCTGGGGAAGGGCTGTTTATACTAAAAAGTCTTAACTATAATTAGTACTTTTATTCATAGCATAGTGGCTGTGTTAGTTTCCTGCTGCAGCAAATAAACACAAATTGAGTGGCTTAAAACAATACCAATTTATTATCTTATAGTTCTGGATAAGAGGAAATGATCTCACTGGACCAAAACCAAGGAGTTGGCAGTGCCATGCTTCCTCTGGAGGCTTGAGGGAAGAATCCATTTCCTGTCTTTTCCAGCTTCTAGAGCTACTGCCCTGGTTCAGGGCCCCTTCCTCCATCTTCAAAGCCAGCAGCACAGCATCTTAAAATCTCTTTTTTTGCTTCTATGTCACATAACCTTACGCCAAATCTCCCTCTACCTTCCTCTTACAAAGAAACCTGTGATTACATTTAAGGCCCAAATGGGATAACCTAGAATACTGTCCCTATCTCAAAATCCTTAATTTAGTCTCTTCTGCAAAATCCCTTCTTCCATATAATGTAATATTCACAGGTTCCAGGGGATTAGGATCTGGGTATCTTTGAGGGCCATAATTCAGCCTATCACAGTGAAAAATAACATGGATTCTGGAGCTAGACTGATGATATCTGAACCCCAGCACCACCACTTACTAGATGTATTGACCTTGGGCAAATGGCTTAACCTTGTTTTTTCATCTGTAAAATGGGCCTAATGACAAAGTCTACTCTGTGGGATTGCTATGAGGATTAAGTGAGTTATGAGAGGAAAACAGTAGCACCTATACGTAAAGCTCTTAAAACAATGCCTTAGAATACAGTAAATGCTATGCAAATATCAGTTATTATATCACCACCAAATAGTACTATTTTATTACCATTATTATTATTACTGTTATTGTACCTTACACAAAGTTGATCAAAATGTAAACCCTGTCTTTGACTGCTTAATGGCATCCCCTCTCAACATAAGTCACATTTACTTTCTGCCCCGACAAGTGATAATAGTTTAGTGCCATTAATCATTTTCTTTCTGCCTCTCTGATGTAGGAATAAAGAGAAAGTTTGCAGAACCAGAATCCTAAATGTAGTAGAAACCAAACTTTGGCAAGCACAAACAACACATTTTCAGTGCCTTTCCTAGTCTGCACCCACATGTTCTTAGCACTTCCTTGAGCATCACCTACTTTCTATGCTGGATCTCTAGTCACTCTTTTTAGGAACAACTTTGCTGCTTTGCTTTATAAAACAATCAACCAAGCATGCATTATTAACAAGAAGCCAGCCTTTGTAATTCATGCACATCTAGGAGAAAATAAAGCAAAATAGCCAAGTGACATTTTAATAAGAATGAGACTTAAAAAGAACCACCAAGCATGCCATTGATATAAATATTGCTGGCAGAAAACAACATGGTTTATGACTTAGTTTAGCCTAGCCTTGGAAAGTAATGGTCAACAGTGAGTGCCTAAATATAGGCCCTCTGGCCAAACCAGCCTCATAGAAAAGGCTAAAACAATTCAGGGAAACTTCACCTTGACAGGAGTGTAGAGGCATAATTATAGTAAATGTAATGATTTAATGAAACATTCAAGTTGGAAATATATTTTAAATTTTATTGTACTTTGGGAATTAAATTAAAATACATGTTGGCTATAGATCTGCATGCTGAAGGAAGTAGGAACAGTGCCAATCACGAACTCCACCAACAGCTTTGTAAAAAGGCAGTGGCAGCCTGAATCCAGACAAAAGATAAACTGTGTAATTTTAAAAAATACAATACATGTACCATGTCCCTACATGAAATAACAGATTCTGACAGAGACTTACTAATTTTAATATATCTGGCTACACCAAAGATAACATTAACAAAAAACCACAATAATTTTAAAATCAGATATTGAACCACAAAAGACTATTTGATGGCTTCGGTGTTAAGAGCTGAGGGGAAAAAAAAGGGGTGGTGGTGGTGGCATCACCACCCAAGTCCAACCTGGACACACCAACACCAGGACCAGCCGCACTTGTGTGCCACGGTGTATTACACTGGCTATATTCAGCACAGCTAACTCTACCAGCAATTGTAAAGTTCATCCCAAGGAAATAGGATTTGTGCCCAGCAAATATTTTGGCTGCTTTTTTAGTTCCATTCAATTTAAAGATCAGTGGGGTTTTCAGAATATGAAATATATGGAAGCAATTCAACCAGGTTGGATTCCAAAAGGCAGTTAAGGCCATTAGTTTAAAAGTCCAAAACCAGGAGTGAGGTTTAGGCTTACAGAGTTCACATTTCCTCCTAGCTGATATATTTTGGACATTTAAAAAAACTGCCCTGTTTTGTTTACAATGAACATTTGCTGAGGTGGGCAACCTCTCCCTGACACAATCTCTACCAACAGAAGGGAGGGAACCTCTGGCAGCTAAGGATTCCACACCAGAGCTTACCTGCAGATTAGAAAAGGCCTGGAACCCACGCTGCCATCTGCGGTGTTTGATAAATTTCCACAGCCGCTCTTTCATTCACTATGTTTAGCCTTTAAGTTCTTACACTCCTAACTTGAACCTGACTTGAGCCTTTGACTAAATAGGCATCCCATTCTAACAATGATCCTCTGCACAAACCATTTCAGACATTCACATTTCTTCACCTTTGGCTGACTGTCAATTGCACAGATATCTTCCCTCCCACACACACATTGTGAGGCTGTCTTTCATAATCATTCTTATTGTGCAATCATTTATTTAATACGTATATATAATTCTCTTACTTTCAATTTTTTACACTATTTCTACTTTTGTAGAAATCAATTTATCATAGCACTGTTTTTAGGGACAAAAT